AAAACGAATCAATCTAAGAAAAACTCAAGAGTATCGAGAAGAAAACTCAAACTGTAATTCACCGATTGAATTTGCATCCAGAATGTTTGAGAACAACACGCATAATCTCAGAACAGATCCAAAAATTCTTCACATCGTTAAGCACAAACCCCATGTATGATCCTTTCCTTTCTTCCCTTCCCGCAAAAGGACACATACTCTCGAACAAAGTTCTGAGTGTTGCACAGTTGAGAGATGCCTCCTATTATGCATTATCAACAAATCGAAGTCTGATGATATGCCTCCATAGCTGTTCCGACACAGAGCGGGATCAGTTGGTCTTTGGAACCCAGTCCATTTAGAAACTGGGTTGACCTTTGTCATCTTTTCAAGGTACTCTCTCCCATGACATGTCATGCTTATCACAAACAGAAGATGTAGAAATATTAGAATCATTAGAAGATTTGGGAGAGTGAACCTTTGGTACCCATCTGTATTTGGGTTTAACCCATTTCTTGTTGGATCAGATGGGTGCCTCAGCACTTAATTTTGAACTTGAAGCCGATCTTCAAGATGACTTTGAGCTAACTGATCTTGGTTTCACTAGAGCATCTCTTGGATTGGACTTCTTGGCCGGCATTCCCTTTTTGTTCTTGGGAGTTGGATTCTTGGCCTTGTGGGTTTGATTCTTAGCCTTCTGCGTGTTCCAGTCACCATTTCGTGATTGTGATCTCGAGGGGTTTCTTTTGGAAAATCTCCCTCTTGGCGCATTTTGCCAACCTTGTGTGTAGTAGGGAACGTATGCGCGATTTGGACAATTTCGGGCAATGTGTCCAGGTGTTCCACAGTGAAAACATGTTTGTTTCTTTACTGGGAAGTTGTTTCTTCCTGTCCCTGGTGGCGTGTCCTTGCCTTGTCTTTTATTGTTCCCACAAGCACACTTGCAACAGGCACTCTGTTTCACTAGAATTGGTGGCTTGTATTTCTCAACAACAGGTTTGTTAGGAGTGACTGAGTTAGAAGCAACAGATTCAGAGTTCAAGAAGACATTGGTTTGTTCAAAAGTGTTCTCCTTGTTCTCTTATTCCACTACTTTACCTACACAAGAAGTAGAAACATTAGTATTTTTCATCTCGGCACCCTCAGTTGGCCCTGATTGTTCAGTCTTAACTGAAGCTAAAGCAAGGGGTTGGCCATACTTAAGGTGTGCTTCATTTTCAATTTCTTCCTTAGTCAGAGGGATGAAAGTGTAGTGATCATTGAAAGGAGGTGGAACATCATGATACCCTAGACCCTTGTTTTGATTATCTTTAAATGTTAATTGTTTTTCTATCATGGACACAACTACCTCACTTGACACATCAAATTTCTTAAAGTTGAATTCAGCATCTTTATATTTTTCTTTTAATGCTTCAAGTTCGGCAGTCACAGCATCAAAATCTTTCTTAAGATATTTATAATGAACACACTTGTCACTGTATTCTGCCTATAATTTCTTATAATCATTTGTTTTGGCCTCTAATTGATCTTTCAATGGTTTCTGGCCTTTCCTAATTTGGTACCCTTCGTATTTTAGTTCCTCGTTCTCTCTACATAGTAATTCGTAATGCACACGTAAATTCTCCAATGAAATTTCATTGACTTTGATTTTTGAAGAACTCATTGTTTAAAAAAAAAATATGCCTTTTGACTATAAACCGAGAAAGTCAACCTTAAAAGTCAAATTTAAAAAGTCAAACTTAAAAGTCAAACTTGAAAAGTCAAACTTAAAAGTCAAACCGAAAAACTAAATTTGAAAATTTGAAAGTTAAACGAGAAAGTCAAAGGTCAAACTTGAAAGTCAAAATCAAAATTTTAGGTCAAAAGTCAATTTAGAAAGTCAAAAAAAATAAAAACTAAAATTTTGTGTTGAAAATGAAATTTAAAAATAAAAGAAATTGATTTTTGGGCTGAAAGTGTAAAAATGCGAAATTGGAATCGAAGATATTGAATCCTTTTGAATTAAATTGGGAAGGATTGAAACATGTGGCTTCCTAGTCCAACTGGTAAGGCGCTTGGTTGAAGAGTTAGGGGACCCGGGTTCGATCCCAGGCAACCCCAAAATTTCCTTTCCCTTTTTTTAAGTGTGCACTGCTTCGCACCAATGCTGCTGATCGAAGACTCGCTGGGCCGAACACGTGCGCGGCCGAGGACGAAGCGAGAACCGTGAACGTGTGAGGATGCTGAGCCGTACACTGAGGACCGTAAACTCCGAGGGCCGCAAACTGTTCTCGGTCGTAAACGAACTTCGGGCCGTGAACCCTTCAAAGGCCGAGAACCCTTCAAGGGTCGTAAACCCTTCAACAGTTACGAAAAAAAACGACGTTTTTCACCCTTTCTGCTCCAAAACTCGTTTTTAGGAAAAATGCAAAGAACAAACCCCCCTTATTTTTCAAAGATCTATCCAAAAACGTAAAAATCCTTCAAAAATAAGATCAAATACGCTCCAGATCTGGCCAAAATGATTGATACAATCCAAGCTCTGATACCACTTGTAAGTCCCCAATCTGTTTGTGTATCAATCAGATCCGCTTGATGGTGTGGAATCTCAATCAAGCGGATGATGCCAGATCTAATGAAGAAGAAGGAGAAGAAGAATAATATGAATCTTGTCTGATTTGATTAGAATGAAGTTCCCTTACACAACATTCACACACTTACACACACTTATGCTCCTCTCTCTCTCTCTCTCTCTCTCTCTCTCTCTCTCTCTCTCTCTCTCTCTCTCTCTCTCTCTCTCATCAACCACTCCTCACCCCCAACACATATATATATGACACATGGGTCGTGAATGGGTTCACGGCCGTGAACACCGTGAACCTGTTCACGACCGTAAACACAACCGCAAACACCTATTACATGACTGAAAAATACATTTTCCTAGAAAAGTAAAGTATAAACGAATATTTTAGACCCAACACTGTATTCTTCTTTCACCTTTCATTTTTACTATATCGTATAGACGCCGCTTCATTGTCCTTTCACTTTCCTCACTCTTTAAAAGCTAGGAAATGATAACCTCTAACTTCTCATCACTTTATTTTTTTAACAATATAATTAATTAAAAAACCTAATAAATCTGAAATGGTCGCACCTCTCTATTGTACTTTCACATATATGATATATGGGTATCAAAAATACCCAAACTCGACTAACCCGAACCCGAATAAGATAAATAGGGTCAGGTTTAATAGGGTCTGAAAGTCCAAATCGGGTTATTTGGGTTAACCCGACAAACCCGAAGTATATTTAGGGTCGGGTTTCGGGTTGTTTTATATATTTTTTTCAGGTTCGGATCAACACGATTAACCCGAATAATATTTTTAGTTTGATAATTATATATTAGTTTCTTATAATATACCTATTGAAAATTGTCCAAAATTTCAATTTCAATGTATTTAACATAATATATATTACCAAGTACAATAATTAATTTACATGAAACTATATATACGATTGCTCAATAAATTTATATGAAAGTATGAGACAAGCAAACTTGATACAACTTGAAGTTAAATCAGAATGATGATATTATGATGTGTCTCAAACTCAAAGTACAAAATGTATAATATGGGATATTTGGGATAATTAGTTTGTCATCATGATGTAATTGTTTCTTGTTCTATTTCTCGTTAGTTTTATTGAAGTAAAAAGAAATAATAATAAATACAAACTATATAATAAGGGATAGGTATGTAAGTCATAACCCTTCCGTATAGAGCCCAAATAAAACCATAATTCATTACACATTAATATCTTGTACTATGATATCATTTGTAATATTTAAGCATATCATAACCCGATTAATCCGAATTTATTAACCCAAACCCGATTGTTCTGCATCTGACTAACCCATTAGTTAATAGGGTTAGGTTTTGGGTGAATTTTTATTTTTTAAAATCCGGTCAACCCGAAACCCGATCGAGTTGACCCAATTAACACCCCTAGTCATATATGTATTACCTCATTTTTGCTTCACTCCTTAAAACCTAGGAAATTGTCCCCTCTTACTCCCTTTTACTTTTTTTATCAATAAATATAATTTGAAAAATCTTAATAAATACGAAAAGGTCACCCCCTCACTTTAATTTCTTTTTTTAACAATAAAATTAATCAAAAAAATCTTAATAAATATGAAATTTAAAAAAAAACGAAAATATTTCATAATATCAAAATACAAACTATATAATTAAAATTAGAAAGTAAAATAAAATACAAAAATATTTAAAGCAAGCTACAATATTTCTTTTTATTCTATACGATCATATCTTTTTATTTTAATTCTTTTCAGTCGTTAAATCTTTTACATTATTTAAAGATGTCATATATACTTGTGGTTAGGATATTATATGATATTTAATAAATAAGTATATATAATATATGAAACTAAGAAACATTTCAAACCAACCTAAATGATAAATATTGAATATAAGGAAGAAAAAAAAAAGATGAAGGGCTGATTTGTAACTTGTTTCAACCGGTTGCAACGGCTTTTTCTTTTCCTGTGGCAGCCATCACAGCACACTTTGTGCACAATGGTGTGGTGTTACAGTTAACTAATGATAAGGTACGGATATCACTTCTTGAAACATTATCTGATAACATTAATACGTACCTCAAAATTGATTTCTCATCATTTTAGCATTTTGTAAATATATATCATGTTCTTCACATTCTATTACTTTGTTTCCAACGAAAACATATAAACACTTCTATCAAGATAAAGGGGTGCAAATTTGGAACAATTTTCAATTTCTTGTGGATCTTGAATAATCTATATTTTAAACAGTATCTCGTCATCTAAAGATTATGTTACACTTTATTCGGGATTGCGTTTAATGGTTGCGTCTAACTAATAATCTTATACCTACTATTTTACCAATCCTATGTAACTATACAAAACACTAAAAACAAATTATTGACTCAAATAAATGTTATCAACCACAAAGCATTACTTTAAATCACGAAAACAACTTACTGGTCTGTCCTTCATCAAGCGATTATAATTCAAAATTTGAATAATGTCTGAAAATATAAAAGACAATAATATTTTTTTTTAACGTCTATGTAGACTAAAATCCCAAAGCCGAATGAAAAATTATATATGAAAATGAATTTTAATTGACAAATCGATTTAAATGTTAATAATAACTTCAATCAAACAACTTGGTAGCTCTCAGTTACCAATTGAGTCCTCTGTGAATACTTCGGTGGAGCTCCTCCTTTTAGCGGCACAACACTAGCCACCTGTAAATTATTCTTTTTCAGTCTGTATACTGTATACTGTGTACTGTAATGTGAACGTGATAAAAATTGCAATTTTTTGTGACATCTAAAAAGGTGCAACAAGGACTCGCTTTCAATCTCTCATTTGTGTAAAAGACGTAAATACCCTCCTCATCCTCCTCATTAAAAATAACCTTAGAAAGCTTGTCCAGTCCAGTTCAATCCCATGTAACAAACGCGTCACGCGTTTGTTGCACAGGACATGACTGAACTGAACTGAACTGGAGAAGCTTTCTAAGGTTATTTTTGATGATGAGGATGGGGAGGGTATTTACGTCTTTTACACAAATGAGAGATTGAAAGCGAGTCCTTGTCGTACATTTTTAGGTGTCAACAAAAATTGCAATTTTTGTCACGTTCACATTTAACTGATTTTGATTTTTATATGTAGAATGAGTACCTTCATGCTGCTGAAAGTACTTGTTGCAGAGAAGCGCACAGAAATTGGGAAGAAAACCGAGGTATCAGCTGGTGGAACAACAAACTCCATTGACCCACTACAATTTTTTTTATATATATTTAGCAAACTCATGATTCTATAAATTAAAAATATATATATTAAAAAGAAAAAAAAAAAAAAAAAAAAAAAAAAAAAGTAAGAACATTGAAGACTTGCCTGCGGTTGGAGTTATCAATGAGAAGTATAGTCCATTCCAACATGGCATTTCTGGAATCAAACCTGCACATGGGAAAAAAAAAAAAAAAAAAGTGGTTTATTGTATTTTGGCGAATATTACAATATAATATAATATAAGAATATATATAAAGAAGTATATGTTTTACCTCCATTCTCCATCAACTTGTCTTACATTTGGGGCTTCTCTAAGAGCAGGAAGAGGGACAGAAATAACAACATTTTGTAAATCAAACATTGAAGAAGCTTCATATTCAATGCTAACATACGTTTCATTTCCAGAAACAGATGGCCAGCAGTTAACTGTTAAATGAATATACAAAGTTTTGAGATTTTGGAATAGCATAGGGGCAAAGTGGTAATTTAGTGTGATTGGGAGTGGGACTTACTAGTCAATGGGACAGCAGACTCGTCTTTACTTTGCATTCTCCATTTGAGAAGACCAAGGCCATCACCAGATTGACCAGCTGGAAATGGACGGTTGGGATCTTTGGATCCAAGAATGTTTTCATTGGAGAAGAGTTCTTTGTTGATGTTGGGATGTGTCTTGAATTTGATCTCTGGGTTGTTTGCACTTTCAATCTGCATGATTTTATATTTAATTTTATAGTTTTTAGGGTATGTGGAATGGAATGGAATGAGTGATTACATTTGTTTGGTTGGAAGGAATGGAATGAATTTTCATGTGACATAGTTTTAGATCTACTCTATATATTATTTTAACATATTTATTTATAAAAGTTTACAAGTAAACAAAATAGAAAAGCTCAGTAGACCCCAAATGTAATTTTAATACAGAATACTTTTTCTAGTTGTTTTAGAAAATAAAATAGTAATTCTGTGTCATTAAAAATTAAATACATAACCCTGGGTTATATTGAAATTTTTCATTACAAAATAAAAACCTCATTAGAACCCAAATAAGATTAATTAAAAAAAATAAAATTTCTAGTTACATTTAGAAAACATAATTTGTAATTCAGTTGAAATCCCGGAACTTTATAAGCTTGTGTTGGTATAAATTACATAAAAAAAAAATGATTATATTGAAATTTTTCACTCCATTCATGATGAAATGAAAAAATAAATAAATAAATAACTTCTGACTAAGAAATGAAAATTCTCTTTCAAAAAAAAAAAGACTAAGAAATGAAAATTGACAATTTGGATGGAAATAAATTCCTTCAAGAATGGTCCATTCCATTCCATTATACAAAACAAAGACCTTTTCATATCAATGGAATGAACCATTCCATTCCATTCCTTTCCTTTGGCTTTCCTGATTCCATCATATGAAATGCAGGAATAGTGAATGTTTTGTCTATGCAAAAAAGACATAAATGCCCTCCTCATAATAAAAAGAAAGGGGGTAAGGGTAACAGAATGAGATCTGATTCCATCATATGAAATGCAGGAATAGTGAATGTTTTGTCAATGCAAAAAAGACGTAAACACCCTCCTGATAATAAAATAGAAAGGGGGTAAGTAAGGGTAAGAGAATGAGAACCTGAACATGGATAAATCCATCATCCTGATTAAGTATTTGGAGAGACAAAGTTCCCTGAACATCAAAATTACTAAGACCACCATCTCTCTTTAATGTCACATTGAGTTTCTCTTCAGCTGTAAAAGTGATTGGATCAGTAAGTGGTTGTGCAGCAGGTCTGGTTGGATTAGTACTGGGCCCCACATCTTCAACAATCATTTCCCCTTCAGCTTTCAGTGATTCCAAGAACTGGTTTGTTCTTTGTGATTTCCCTAGTTTCATTCCCATGCCTTTAGCTGGAGCAGCAACTGAAGCAGCTGGACGACCTAAAAGGGTAAAAATGTAAATTAACCAAAAACAAAATTGATATGATGTTGATGGAATGAAACAGTTGCCAACCTTTAGATTTGCTTGAGAAAGAGTCCACATCAGAGGTTAATCCAAATCCAGAAGATCCTCCAAATGTATTACCACTTGAAATGCCCATATCATTGCTAAAAGAATTATCCATTCTTCCAATTGAACCCATTGACCCCATTGAACTCATGGATTGAAGAGATGAATAGCCACCCTTTTCCAGTTTGCCCCTCTCAATCTGGAGAAATAAGGTAAACTTGTTGTAGAAGAGATACAAAAGGAAGGGTAAAAAAGTCATAATCATTGAGCTTACCTTGCTTTTATCGATCTCATTAGCTTTACGCTTCATAACATCTTTGGTTTCATTGATCTTGCTTTGCAATACCAATTTGTGCAATCTTTCTTCATGACTCTCCATCTCACAATATTGCCTGACTTGAGCAACAGTGACATTTTCCTTGTGCCCAAGGGAAATGACTTCATCAAAAGCAAAAATCAGTTCAAATGCATGCTTGCAAATGCCTTCTTCATCTAAAGAGGCAGAAAACTCAGGAACCTATGCAGAGTTAAGGAAGATTTTGTAACCCTTTTAAACAAGATAGTAAGATTTTTAGATGTAAAAACAAGAAGAAAACTATAACAGAAAGGATACAACTTTAGAGAGAAGCCTCAGTGTATCAAGATCCTCAAGAATATTGCTTTGCTTGTTTGTAACAAGAAGCAGATATATACCCTCCATTGGCTGATACACATAGCGCACATTTTCAGTCTCAACATAAGTATGTTGTTTCCCACTTCCAATCAATTTAGGGAAAGCTGCAAGAAGTCCTTCGATTCTTATTCTAGACATGTCAACAAACTGCCTTGAAACAAGAGCTGTAGAAGGAATATACGATTATTAGCTAACAAAAACAGTTTGCAATATATTAAGCATGACATAAATACAAGCTACCCAATAGTTCCTATGTGGTTTGGTCACATCTCATGCTCATAATACTACATCTAAAGTTCACCACTGTTACTGCATTGCATCTTATATACATTGATATAAAATGTTTGCCTAGGCTAAAGGGAAATGAAGATAGATTGAAACATCACTTGGGGAAAGGCAATCCCCTGACATAAAGCACATTTCTGAGGGATTTGATCTCATGTAGAACTATTCTTACTATATATAAACAAGAGGCTAAATAAAGCAATTAAAAGATTAACCAAAGTGAATCCTATTTGCAAATGCTGTTCAGTATATGGCTTTCTCAGTGGGAGTATTATGTCTATAAGGGCTCAAACCTCATACTAAACCCTCTTGACACTATGTGGCACTTTATAACAATGATCCAGTCAAATCAAGATAACAATGCCAAATGATCCGGTCTCTGATCTGGACCATAGGCACCCACATGGTATTAGATGAGCAAATTAGGCCAGATGCAAAGAAGCAAAGCTACGAAACTGAAAGTTCTGCAGTATTCATAATACTTCAAAGCAACTTCTATTAAAATGCTATCGCTTAATTGAAGGAGGTTATCATAAGTGCACTGATTTAGAACATACAAGGGTAAAAACACTACTAAATCCCCAAAACATTCTTGGTTGGTTGTAATTTTTCTTTCGAATGCAGAAAAACTACAGATTTGTATCACATCTGATCTTGTTGTAGGATTTGAAACATAGACAAAATGTCAAAATGAAATTAAGATCTCACCTTTTCCAGATTTACTGGTAACGGATGCTGCTAGAACAACCTATTATGAAAATTTAAAAAAAAAAAAAAAAAAAAAAAAAAAAAAAAAGAGTTAGAAACCAAATCTACGCTCCAGAAATCAAGAGATCACAAGTGACGCCGAAACTCCAATGCGATTTCAGATTTGAAGATGAAAATTAAAGGATTCAGATATGCAATGAGATTGATTACCATTATGACCACAATTGGGATTCAACAGCTACAGAACCAAATGCAAATATTTGAACACGCTACAGATCTAAATAAAACAGATCAATGTATTAGATCAATGTAATCGGAATAAGCAGGTGGCGGATGTGGTAATGAGATCGCATAGGGTGAAAACGCACTTTCAGATGATTCCTCCGGCGAAGGAAATAAGCGGAGAACCTGTGAAAGGGTTGTTCAGGTTTTCATCTCTACATATAAACTTGATATATAAAATTATGACATCACCTTCAATTCCTTCGATAGCTAGGTTTTGTTGATTAATTTCAACAATTAGATATTTTTATAATGTCATTATAAAATAAAATTAAATTAATATTAACTAAATTAAGTTGACTATGTTTGCAAAGTTGAAAACTTACTAATGATGACTAAAATTTTTAATTTGAATGTATTAAAGTGAATATGTTAGCATAATTGTCAAAACATAAACATTGTTACTTCCTTTTTAAAATCAAGTAATTTGTATATATCTTTCATAATAATAGAATTTGAAATCAAAGAATTCAAAATACTATGATATGAATCACAGTATTAATTTCTTCATATCATTTCTAAAATCGTTGTTCAAAATTATATATAAGTCTAATCTCATTCAGTTGTTATCATAATTTCGTGAAATCTGGATTTTGCAGCATCACGTTCGAATACCAACTTCATAAGGTTGACAATTTTTTTTAATTACTAGTTAATTTCTTACATTTGATTATAGTTTATGTGTTCAGTATATTATTAATGGCTTATTAGTGGGTTTTTGATAAATAGATTTTTTACTCTCTCTCTCTCTTTGTGTGTGTGTATGTGTGTCTATGTGTCTGTGTGTGTGTGTGTTTGGATTGGATTTTATGTTTGGACGGGATGAAGTAAAATTCAGTTTAATTAGTTCTGTGTTAATTGGATCAGATTGTGTGTTTGGATTGGATGAAAAAATAAATAAATAAAAGTAAACATGGGGTACCTTCCCGAAGAGTTTAGTGTGTGTGTGTGTGTGTGTATATATATAGGGTTAGGTTATTTTGTTTCTAGTAACTATTGTGTGTCAGAATGCACAGATGTAGACCATCAGATGAAATATAATCAAAGGTCATGATCTGAGGGTCTATGATAGTAGAATAGGATAACATATACCATATAATCACACAAATTTCAGCATACGGGCATTTTAGTCAATTAACCTATATTAAAAAGGGAAATTTTCGGATTTTTAGGGATAATTAATTCCTTTATTTTTAAAAATCTGAATATTTTAAATTAATTCAAAATTAAAAATCCGCTTTTATTCTGTCAGAATGATAGAATGTTAACCATAAACTAGTAACTATATTTTTCGATTTTATTCTGTCAGAATGACAGAATGTCAACCATAAATTAGTAAATACATTCTGAAAAGAATACACGAAATCAATTCTTGAACTAATAATATACCAAATAATTACATTGTATGATTGTGATTCATTGAATAATAATAACATTCTGAAAGAAAAAAGAAAAAAAAACATCAAAATCTAACAAAAACACTAATCTATTCTGAGAGAATATTATTTTTTAGCAACACTTTATACATTGTAGCATAACACATTCTGGTATAATACACTCTCGTTCTCTATGTTTTCTTCCTTCTCCACATCAATGTTAGCCTCTTCAAAACCTAAATCCACAAAGAAAACATAATCAAGTTTCAAAAATTAAAAAATTCAATGCATTCTAAGAGAATAAAAACTATAAATTCTGACAGAATGTATTAAAGACTATAAAGTTTGACAGAATATAGTAGAAAATAAAAACTATAAATTCTGACAGAATGTAGTAGAGACTATAAAGTCAACCATAAAGTATCACAAATTCATTACCAGTTACACAAATATACTTGTTGTTGACAATTATTCTCAATCATTCTAACAGAATACATTTATATAAAATAATTTCTAATAGAATACATTACATAATTCAAGAGTTGTGATTGAATACAGAATTCAAGAGTTGTGATTGAATCATCAACACACATCTGCATTCATTCCCAGTCCTGAATTCAAGAAACAAACACACATTCACATTATCGATTTAGAAATATGAACACCAATTTTGACTTTTTCGAAACAAAATCCAACTTATGACTGTGAAGTGCAAGTTGTATCAGAATATTTCTTCAATCGAACAGAAATAAACCATTGAAGAAATCGAATTCAATAAGATGATGAACACAATCTCGATCTTGAATCAAAATCGAGATAAAATCAATCTCGATTGAGGTAAATAATTTCCAGTTATATCCCCTAGTTGTTGGATTACCGGACCAGAGAAAGAAGAACAGGAGGCTGCCGAAGCATACCTCCGTCCAAGTACCTACAATCGCCGGGATTTCCTCACCGTTCGCTCCTCGCTTCTCATTCGTGTTCACGGACCCTACAGCAGCGCCACTGCTCCTCCACATCCCCTTCTTCAGCCTCATCGACCCCAGAGTCCATCATCGATTGCGAGACGAGAGTATGTGCTCCCTTTTGGATCCGTCGATTGTAAAAGAAGAAGCAGATTTGGTGATGGTGATGGTGTTGATGCCGATGATGAAGTGTTCAGCCACAAACATAACTAGGTCAAATATATTTAGTTTATTTCCTTAATTGAATGATTAGTTTATTTCCTTAATTGAATGATTTCAATTAAATGATTTCATTAATTAAAAGTACAAAAGGTCCAAAATACCCTTTAATGATTTATTTAATTATTTATTATTTCTTGAATTCTCATTGGTGCATTTAGGCACACAATAGTTGCTAAAAACATTTGAACCTAACTCTCTTCTCTCTCTCTCTCTCTATATATATATATATATATATATATATATATATATATATATATATATATAAAAAAGAAACTTGATGACATCACCTTCAACAATCAGGGTCATTCATTGTGTTTCCTTGATTAATTGTAACCATTGGATCACTTTGATGATTCATCATAAAATAAAATAAAACTAATATTAACTAAATTAAGTTGACTACGTTTGAAAAGTTAAACTTATTAATGTTGACTGAAATTTTTAATTGGAATTTATTGAAGTTAAATAAATGTCAACATAATTCTCAATACATAAATATGGTTCCTTCCTTTTTAAATCAAGTAATTTGTGTGTGTGTATATATATATATATATATATATATATATATATATATCTATATATATATACTATATATATTATTGTTCTCTGGAAAACAAAAACCCTAAAAATCAAAAAAAAATACTTAGAGATCACAAAACTTTTTTTTGAATTTTTTTATAAAAATCGTAGCTTTTAGTATAAAATCGCTGAAAAAAAAATAAAAAATCAATTTTTTTTTATAAAAAAAATTGTTTTTTTTTCAAAAAAAATTTCAGCGATTTTATACTAAAAGTTGCGATTTTTCATAAAAAAATTCAAAAAAAAGTTTTGTGATCTCTAAGTGTTTTTTTTATGCATTTTTATGATTTTTAGGGGTTTTTTAGGGTTTTTTTGTTTTCCAAATAACCCTTCCCTATATATATATATATATATATATTATATATATATATATATATATATTATATATATTTCAATATTATAGAATTTGAAATCAAAGAATTCAATTTCAGTATAAATATAATCTCTTCATATCCTTTCCAAAGTTGTTGTTCAAAATTATGTATAAATATAATCTCATTTAGTTGTTATCACAATTTCGTGAAATCTGAACTTCGCACCATCACGTTTGAATACCATCTTCATAAGGTTAGCAATTTTTTTATTTACTGATTAATTTCTTACATTTGATTAGTGTTCGATATATGTATCAATGGCTTATTAGTGGATTTTTGATAAACGGGTTTTCTATACTCCCTCTCTCTCTCTCTCTCTCTCTCTCTCTCTCCCCCCCCCCCCCCTCTATGTGTGTATTTGTGTTTGGATTGGATTATGTTTGGATTGGATCAAGTAAAATTCAGTTTAATTAGTTATGTGTTAATTGGATTGGATTATGTGTTTGTATTTGATGAAAAACTAAATAAATAAAAGTAAAAATGGAGTACCTTCTCGAAGGGTTTAGTTTAATTAGTTATGTGTTAATTGGATTGGATTATGTTATTTCTTCAAAATGACTTATTTAGGCTTGCTCTAAAAACTACTTTTATTTGGAATTATTCGTATAATCTTTAATATATGTGTGTGTGTCACACCCCAAAACCGGAACGGCGGAAACGTTCTGGGGCGGAGGACGTCATGTTTAGTATCACAAGACATGCATCATAGTAAGCAAAGTAATAAACAATCATTTCATTTGAAAGAAATTGTTTACAAAGTATGTGATTCACATAATATAGAATACATAGCAAATAACAAAAAGACATGAAGCTATACTGCTCCATCTTCTGAATCCCAGTGCGCGAACCTGTCTACTGGTCTCCTGAGAATACAAGTTATTTTGAAAGCGTAGATCAGCATTTAAGCTGGTGAGTTCATAAGATTTTAGTGATGTAGTAAGTAGTAAGAAAGTTTGTAGAAAGTTGTAGTAAGTTGTAGCAAGTTCTCGTTTAGAAAAGTTTGTCTGTTCCTCCAGAAAATCCTATATTTCCTGCTTTGATGAAAGATAAGTAAAAATGACTATACAATCCTTTCTATGAGTATTAAATGGATACAAGTTATATAAAACCCAGAGTAAACAAACAGTCGGTTGTATATATCTGCCCTAAGCCCACAACCAAACAAGGAACAGGAAATGAGGCGGAAGACACACATCTCATTGTTTGTTAGATCGTCGTTGTATATAACCCCTGCGTATTCACTCGGTAGTCACGGAGTTAACTGCAATAGTTCCTTTATATTTGATGAAAAGATCCTTTAAGAAAACCCTTATTTCTTATAATAAAATGATAACCACAGTAGTTCCTTCTATAATCACTTAGTTTATACTAGTTATATATAATCTAATATCGAACAGATAGTTAATTGTGCGAATCGCCCTAAACCCACAACCAAACAAGGGAACAGGGAATGAGGCGGAAGGCACACATCCAACTACCTATCGGATATTAATTATATATAACCCTGGTGTATAAACTAAGGTATTGTAGAATTAACCACCTAAGGTCCTTTTAAGTTTTACTGGTTTAATAAAATGGATTAAACCCTTTACTGGTTAAGTTTCTAGTTTTGAATACCAAAAGTTCTTTATTTGAAAAGTATGTTTTGTACTAGAAAACGGTGCATTGAATT